TTCTTTTCTAGGAAACGTCAACACAAATAAAGATGGGTATTTTCCCATGACTGCACCGCTGCTATGCTAACACACTCTCCACCTTCGCTTTGAAGACCTGTGTTCTGCCACCACAAGTACTTTAAGTAGAGCTGTCCCTTCTACTTTATATCTTTATTACAGACACTATGCAACAGCTTCTCGTCGAAGGTGAGCGATAGGCCATGTATTAGTAATTTATTCAAAAACAATGATAATGGTATGCGGGATAAGCTGAGACAAGGGAGACAAGAAAGGAGAATAATTCCAAGTACTAAGAACTTAGCTCCGCTTTCAAAAGGCTGAAATTAACGCAATTCGAAAGTCTATTGTGCCTAAAAAAACAGGCAGAGCTTAAAACGTGAATTTTTCTCTAATAGAATTGTCGAATGATGCATTTAATTTCAAGTTTTCGTCAAAATTAGCCCTCCGCTTTATTTTCTCGGAAAACTGATTTACGCGAGTTCTCGCTAATTCCTCTTGCTTATTTATTTTCGCTAGTCCTTGGATGCTCGCAATCTCGTTAACAATTGGTCGACAATTCGAATTTTCTTCAAATCGTTCTCTATACAGTTTTTGGAACTGATCTGCGTGTTTCTGAACGCCCATGAATTTGGCTATAAAGTTAAGTTGAGAAACACAAATCATACACTAAATATCTTGGCAGTGATTCAAAATAACAGGAGTTATTAACTGGGCTGCCTCAAGGCAGGCACTAGTTTATAAAATGGGTAGATTTCTCCATTTTCTCCATCAAAAAATGAACACGATCAATTATTAACCCAGTAACCCAGAAGGCGTTTCAAATGGACGACCGTAAATAAAGTCTTAATATCTCTTTCGGGGAAAATGTTCAATTTTATATCTTCTGTTAAAACTACATAATTCTTTTATTATGAAAGAAAACACCCTATAGCGATATTTGTCAGTGATGGTGGTGCATCTTTGGATGGCTTGGTTGAAGTTGGTTTATTGCGAATTTGGTTAATGTGAGATAAAAAAAAAGAAGACCTGTGGCAATTATTGATTTTGTAACAGCACTTGTACAAAACCTACAAATCTACGTAAGACTAGTATAGTCCGAAACTATGTATCTTGCAGTGCAATTCCCTGCCCATCAGTTGTAATAGAAATTTTTCTTGTGAACTCCCTTTACAGACGCATTATGCGATGTGGACGTTTAGCATTTAATAAAAATGAATTGATATTTAAAGTATATTCCCTTGCTTATTTATTGCCTTAATTTACCTGTTTATTTTTCGATTGTAATCTTTAAAGAAGAGGGAGATGAGCTTTTAGTCACCTCAGGAGCAACCTATATTGCTGTGGTTGCCATCGATTTTGGCACAACCTTTAGTGGCTTTGCCTTCGCCTTCAACCACAAAGATGGAGAGAAAGGTATCCATATGAACAAAGAATGGGGGACAGATCAAGGCTACGCTACAATGAAAGCTCCCACCTGCTTGCTGCTTAACCCGAACAAGAGTTTCAATTCTAAAGAGGAAAAAAAAAATACAAATGAAAAAAAAAGACCCCAGCCCCCTGACCCTGGAGCTTAAGTGGGCGGTTTTTTTATCCCCTTCCCCTTTACCTTTCCAGGGCAACCGGGAAAGGGGGCTTTGGGGCCCCCCCCCCCCCCCCCGCCTCTATAACTTCCTAAGCCGTTTGCGATACGGCCACCAAAATTACATGGAATAATGTACTCATCATTTTCTAACGTATAGGTATAACTGACACAACGATGTAACTTAACGTAATTTGAATTTACAGGCACAATCCAAATTCCAATCAAAATAACATAAAGTGCAAATATACTTGTAAGGTACCGTAAAATTCCGAAAATAAGCCCCGGGGCTTATATTTTTCAAAGGCCCTTTCTGAGGGGCTTATTTTTGGAGGGGCTTATATTCGGAGTGGCTTATCTACGGAGGGAAATTTGCGTTTCAAAATCGATTGGGCTAGCCTTATAGTTAGAAGTAAATTTATCGTTTTTGCTTTGTTTTACTTTATATTTGAGGGCAATTTTCCAAGTACAAGCCCCCGGGGGGCTTATTTTAACGGAGGGTTTTTTCCGTTACCGGTTTGGGTGCTTATATTAGGAGGGGCTTATACATGGAGGGGCTTATTTTCGGAATTTTACAGTATGTGATAAAGTCAACAAGTTGACTAACACATTTTAAATAACCTTTAACAACAGCATTGATGTCAGGCCCGATTATAATCCCGATTATAAAGAAAGAAGGAACTGAAGCCATTCATCAGTCAGACCAATTTGGATCCTCTTTTTTGAAAGTGCTTAAATATACAGTATGAATTAAGGAAATCAATTTGGATCCTCTTTTTTGAAAGTGCTTAAATATACAGTATGAATTAAGGAAATCAGAGGTCAAAAATGTACAAAGTATGAAATTCAGAGACACGTGAACTTTGTTGAAATATGAAGCCAACATCTGCCATTTTAGACTCATTCGTTCGTAAAAAGCTTGGATTATATTAACAGTTTTATTATTATTATTTGATAAAAAGCCTGGATTATATTAACAATTATATCATTACTTGATAAAATAATGGTAAACTATAAAGTATAATGAAAAAACAGGCACATTTTTAAGAACATGGCGGTCAAAACTCCATGGTTTATTGTATGTTAATGTACGCGTCACAAGGTAAGGGGGGGTGGGGGGTGGGGGTGGGGGGGCAGTGATCGAGTTAAAATACTTGTAGGACTGTTTCATTTCATTTCTGTTTTTGTTTTGTCTTTTTTTTTCACAATTTTTCTTTAAAACGATTAATCAGGAGTTTCGTTCCTTCTCCATGCCACTCCGTCCATGCAGACGTCCTCTTCGACGCATGTTGTTCAAAACATTGTAAACGAAAGACACAATGATAGCAGGATTTTCGTACCTGTATTCTTCAAATTGGTGCACTTCAACTAATTTTGCTGGACCGTTGTCAAGAAGACATTCCATCACTTCTGGTAGGTTGGACAATAGCTCCCGATTTTCCTTGAAAACGTTTATTAAGGTCTTGAAGAACTCAATATGAGGGACCTGCATCGTAACATCTTCTGAAGACGAAGACTGTGTGTCTGCCATGGCTTGTATCTTTAGCAATTATTGACTAGATTTGCTATTGCCCACTGACTCCGAGGCAAGTCGGCGTGCGAGAGTGAGAATTCAAATAATATGTTAATTTTTCTGTTTTTAGAATTCTAGGAAAGAACGGAAATGAATTTTTTGGATATTTAATACGCGGTGCAATTGATCACATGCAAATTACTTACACCCTGCTGTACTCTTACAAAAAGGAATGTTATCAAGACGCTTAGCGATTCTCCGCCATAATTTAGCCATAACCTTATTTATGACGCATTCTCTTGTCTCTCTAAAAACGCAAACAAGCTAGAGTGGTCACTTAGAATGTCGATGATCATCTGCAAACTACAAGAGCTGATTCGCGTGACTAACAAATAAAAGTTTAATGAGTGTCAGTTTATCTGTTAGAATCCAATTGACTAGCTAGTGACGGGTAGATAATCCATCGTTATAGAAATAAAAAATCAAAACAGTGGCACAGAGTCCAATTAATTATATTGTTTAAAATAAAGGTTGAGGTATTTTTACTTGATCTTTCGTGATTTATGACGTCACCTTTCCAGGAAACTAAAAAGAACCCTCGAGAAAACTTGTGACCTTTCAATGTTTCTTTTCTAGGAAACGTCAACACAAATAAAGATGGGTATTTTCCCATGACTGCACCGCTGCTATGCTAACACACTCTCCACCTTCGCTTTGAAGACCTGTGTTCTGCCACCACAAGTACTTTAAGTAGAGCTGTCCCTTCTACTTTATATCTTTATTACAGACACTATGCAACAGCTTCTCGTCGAAGGTGAGCGATAGGCCATGTATTAGTAATTTATTCAAAAACAATGATAATGGTATGCGGGATAAGCTGAGACAAGGGAGACAAGAAAGGAGAATAATTCCAAGTACTAAGAACTTAGCTCCGCTTTCAAAAGGCTGAAATTAACGCAATTCGAAAGTCTATTGTGCCTAAAAAAACAGGCAGAGCTTAAAACGTGAATTTTTCTCTAATAGAATTGTCGAATGATGCATTTAATTTCAAGTTTTCGTCAAAATTAGCCCTCCGCTTTATTTTCTCGGAAAACTGATTTACGCGAGTTCTCGCTAATTCCTCTTGCTTATTTATTTTCGCTAGTCCTTGGATGCTCGCAATCTCGTTAACAATTGGTCGACAATTCGAATTTTCTTCAAATCGTTCTCTATACAGTTTTTGGAACTGATCTGCGTGTTTCTGAACGCCCATGAATTTGGCTATAAAGTTAAGTTGAGAAACACAAATCATACACTAAATATCTTGGCAGTGATTCAAAATAACAGGAGTTATTAACTGGGCTGCCTCAAGGCAGGCACTAGTTTATAAAATGGGTAGATTTCTCCATTTTCTCCATCAAAAAATGAACACGATCAATTATTAACCCAGTAACCCAGAAGGCGTTTCAAATGGACGACCGTAAATAAAGTCTTAATATCTCTTTCGGGGAAAATGTTCAATTTTATATCTTCTGTTAAAACTACATAATTCTTTTATTATGAAAGAAAACACCCTATAGCGATATTTGTCAGTGATGGTGGTGCATCTTTGGATGGCTTGGTTGAAGTTGGTTTATTGCGAATTTGGTTAATGTGAGATAAAAAAAAAGAAGACCTGTGGCAATTATTGATTTTGTAACAGCACTTGTACAAAACCTACAAATCTACGTAAGACTAGTATAGTCCGAAACTATGTATCTTGCAGTGCAATTCCCTGCCCATCAGTTGTAATAGAAATTTTTCTTGTGAACTCCCTTTACAGACGCATTATGCGATGTGGACGTTTAGCATTTAATAAAAATGAATTGATATTTAAAGTATATTCCCTTGCTTATTTATTGCCTTAATTTACCTGTTTATTTTTCGATTGTAATCTTTAAAGAAGAGGGAGATGAGCTTTTAGTCACCTCAGGAGCAACCTATATTGCTGTGGTTGCCATCGATTTTGGCACAACCTTTAGTGGCTTTGCCTTCGCCTTCAACCACAAAGATGGAGAGAAAGGTATCCATATGAACAAAGAATGGGGGACAGATCAAGGCTACGCTACAATGAAAGCTCCCACCTGCTTGCTGCTTAACCCGAACAAGAGTTTCAATTCGTTTGGATATGAAGCACAAGATAGATTTGCGGAACTGGAGGAGGAGGAGGCCAGAGAATATTATTACTTTGAAAAATTTAAAATGGTTCTTCACAAAGATGAGGTAATACATCTATTAAGCTTCCAATTATTTTTAGGGGGTTCCAATTGGTCAAAATAATTAATATTGTAATGTAGATTTGTTGCTGAAACCTAAGGCGAATTCACAACGTAACCCAGTCCTCTTCCCAACTTCTTTCTGAATATAAACGTGTTGGCTAGTGCTCCCGAGCTGTTGACATTATTGCAAGTATTTTGTTATTTTTCAATTAGAACTTGAACAGAGAAACTACTTTGAAGGCAAGCAACGGGAGAGATATTGACGCTCTGACCATATTCACATATTCAATATATTATATCCACACGAAAGCCGTTGAAGTTATTCGGGAGAGAACTGGTGATGAAAACTTCGGCTCTGGTGATGTGCAATGGGTGCTGACTGTGCCGGCAATTTGGAAGCCAGCAGCTAAGCAATTTATGAGAGAAGCAGCATATAAAGTAAGGCATTTAAAAATAACTATCATTTTAATGTGTTATTCGCAATGTTGGTTCTCTTCTTTAACCTTTTAAAAATTGAGAGTGATCAGCATTAAATTTCTCCATGCTTAAAGCTCACAAGATGAACCTGATTAATTGGCACTTTGACTACTTTGCTCCTATATTTCCTAGGACATGTACACATAGTGGCAACAGATGACAATCACCTAAAAATCTTATAGCGGGGCTCCCGCGCGCGCGAAGCGCGCGTGGGACAGAGCCCCATACTCATGGAATATGGTCAACCTCTTTTCGTTTGGTTGTCACGTGATTGACCGAGCGTACGTACGTACGTGCGTACGTACGTACGTACGTACATACGTACGTACGCGTCTACAGATGGTACGGGTGGGGTAGGGGAGACTATCAAAAGGAAGGGAGGGATGTCTCAAGCATGTCTTGGCAAGTCCACATCTTTAATATAGGATTTTAGTATAGGACATTCACAATATGGTCAATTGACAGCTGTCAAAACAGGATACCCACTGACCAGTATCCCATGACCATATCGCGGGCTCATGTGTCAACTCATCGAGGTGACGTGATTTATTTGGAAGCTGTCCGCTGACCAGTTAATTGTTTTACTAGATCGCGAACAATGTTCAATCTCATACTTTTACTAGTTAAACTGATAATGCACACATATTGGACATCAATGTTTTGATCAATTGACAGCTGTCAAAACAGGGTACCCGCTGACCAGTATCACTTGACCGTATCGCGGGCTCAGGTGTCGACCCATCGAGGTCAAGTATTTTTTTGAAGTTATCCGCTGACAAGTTACTAGTTTTCAAGTGATCGCAGGCTCAAGTTCAAGTTTTTTCTAAATTCATATGAAATATGTTGTGTTTATGTGCTACACAATTAAAATTTTGATTGCAAACTGACCTCGGACGCGAAAATTCAGCCAGCTGTTACAGGCAGGGAAGACAGTTGCCTTTGACTTTTCTCACCATGGTCACGCGTTGGTCACGCTCTACGTCCAATTTTTATGCTCTGATTGGTCAAAATTTGACAGGTGAGTTCATGCGGAAAATTTATGCAGCATCTTGAATCTTGTTTACTTTGACAGCTGAAGCTGACAGAGTTTTGTGTCAACTTGTGATGTTTTTAACTGTCTTTTTCCACTGGATGTGCAAAATGAAATTCAGCTGCTATCAGGAGTCTTCTGTTATTCATGGCTAGTTTGTTTATTGGGTTTTTGGTTGAGGAATACGTCGCTTGTCAAAGTCGGAAATCCGATTTCGGATAGCATCGTTTTCGTTTTCACCTTGCTTGATGCGTAAGAGGATTGCAAAGTCTGAAGCGATACTGGCTGTTCTTGATACCTTTCAGGTGCTGCATCTCGAATGGTAAGCCAGAGAAATTATTGTATTTGATGTTTGTTTTTTGTATCTAATTTAATGAAGTCGAGCGGAGTTTATGCGGGCATTTAGTTTATGCACGTTTGTAAGATTTGAGACAATGATCTGACCGAGTATCAGGTTTGATATAAACTTACAGAACTTTAAAAAGCCTTTAGACAGTTTCTCACCGCAAATAGAAAGAAAACGTTCCAAAGAATATTTAGTTATAATTCTGGCCAGAAAAGAAAGCTTTGAGCGATTTTCTTGCCTCGAGTTCGTCTTTGAAAAAAGCAAACACCGGGAAGCCGGCTTAAAACATAAACTTAAGCTTGAAGCTTGAAGACTCAGGATTTTTAGGGACACTTTAATACTTGTCTTCCTGAATGAAAATTGTTGTCTCTGTATATGTTTCACCGAATTATATTTCTTTTATTGATTGTTAGTAGTCTCTGTTGTAATTTTAATCGCTGTGCCGATTGTTTTCAGTCGTTCAGTGAACATCGCTTGCAGGAGTACTCAAAATGCCGCGCGTTAAACCATTAAATAAAAAATAAACATAATAAATTCTTTATAATGTTGGAGCGTAACTCTGTTAATGTTCATTCAAACACTCGCCACAGCTCGCACTACAAAAGTGAGAACCGGATGGCCGTATAGGTGATTTTGGAAATTTTTTTAACAGTTTATGAATATTGAATGAGTCTAATTTGTATTGTGAAATACTGCTTTCTGTCCGAGGTTTGCCGGTATGATAAAAACAGTGCCTCATACTGCTGTTTCACCTCAGTTGTGATGTATTAATGCTACCAAAGGTTGGTTTACACGCACCCAGATTTGTTGACAAGATTTTGCAAAGTAAACTTGTCGAACGCAAAAAAGTTGGCCTGATTTTTTTTCCCACTAATTAATCTACGGTGATCAAGAGCCATTATGGCTCTTAAATGTGATCGAAGATCATTACCAGTTTTTGGGTGTACAAATGAGGCTATCAACTCGATGTAAGATTTGGTTCACTCTTGGGCTGTTTGCAAATTATTTTTCTCTAAAATCAGGTAGCCTTTCCCTCAAAAGTCACATAAATGTGATCTAAAGTTAACTGAATTGTGGGATTCGAATACAAGTTTATTGTCTAATTTAAATTATAAATTTATTAATGGGAGCCTCGCTTTTAGCCCTGGCTAAATCTATATATTACGATTGATAAGAACAAAAAACAACAACAACAATAACAGAAATAATGATAATGATAATGATAATGATGATGATGATGATGATGATGATAATGATAATAATAAGACCTGGAAAGAGAATTGAGAAAACTGTGGAAGTTCAAACAAGGGTTGTGCCTATTGTTATCGGGGCACTGGGGACAATCGCAAAAGGATTAGTTGGCCATCTTGAGAGCATAGGCGTGAATCTTGATGTGGTTCAGATTCAAAAGACTACCTCATTAGGAATAGCATGAATCCTCTGACAGGTTCTTGACTACTAAGGTTGCAGGGTGTGACCTGTACCTGGAACTGGCTAGGAGCTGAACACTGAGAGTATATACATAATAACAATAACAACAACAATAATAATAATAATAATAATAATAATAATAATAATAGTAATAATTTTTTTAAAGACACACACTTTTAGTTTATTAATAAGACTAAATTGTATACAGCGCCGTAGCTAGTATGAGGCCAACCGAGGCACTCGCCTCGGTAAAATTTTGACGAATTTCGCCGATCATTTTTATTTTACATAAGCGATCATCGGATATTTTTAACGCATCATGATATTACAAAGAATTCAGCAATTCAGTCAATATACTATGAAAAAATTACCATATCATCGATCTCAAGGGGCTACGTACGTTAACTCAAATTTTTTTTGAATAAATACTGATCAAAACCATTGGCGAGGTTAACGGTCACCCAGATTATGTAGCTTGTTTCTGATTATTGCTTTTTAAATTCCACTTAAATTAACTCGAAAAAAAGTTACCGAAAGGCCCAGAAAACGCTGCAAATCGCATTTCCGAGAGACTAAAGTTAAAAATTTCTCGGGGGGGGGAGGGGGGGGGCATGCCCCCGAACCCCCCTAGCAGCTCCCGCCTGCCTCGGTTGGCCGTTTGGTCTGGCTACGGCACTGGTATAATTAATAATAATAATAAACTTTTAATAATGACACTAATTTTTTCAAAATCTCATAAAAGATGCACACAAAACTTCAGTAAAATATTCATAGATCAATACAAAGTTCTATAATTAACAATAATAATAAACTTTTAATAACGACACTAATTTTGTTAAAATCTTATAAAAAGATGCACACAAAACTTCAGTAAAATATTCATAGATCAATACAAAGTTCTGGCAAAACCCCTTCCCAATTCAAAATTCCAAGAAATCTCAAAGAGTTATAAAAAAAATCAAGTCAAAAGTGTCAATGGATGAGATAAATGTCAATGCGCTGATTCTAATAATATGGATAAGATTCGGATCCATGAGGAGAAATATAAATCTATTGCTGTTCATTTTCCGTACCAATTTCCCGATAAGAAGATGTAACTAAAGATTAAGAGATCGATGAAAAAAAAAACATTTAAAAATAAGGAAACACATCAATAGTCCGATTGAATGGCTCCTTCAACAACTTGAACGTCAATAGCAACATTCGTAATGTCACATGGCACTCTTCTTCTCCTAGAGCCTCTAAGACAAGCCAACGCAGATCTCAAGAGTGCGAATGAGGTTCTGGTTCTGATCCATGAGATGGTTTTGGCATACTGCCCCCCTTCTTTGATGGCAATCAGCTGTGCTAAACGGCTATGATACATCAAGCACTCCTTTCCCATTCCGCCAGTTGTGGTGAAGACCAAAGGTGTGAATGCTCCATGCTTGATGTCCACAACTCTCCTTGAGTAGAGACACTTTTTCTCGTTCTCATGGATACGATAAATTTGTTGTAACTTTAAGTCCCTATATGATACAGCTTTAGGGTGACAGACCCTCGCATCGAAGAATGTTGATCTATGGCATTCCCAGAAACCATGTGCGCGGATATCTAACCTCGCATCCTGAGCTTTGTTACATCCTCTGTTTAAATGTTCGCCAGAGATGTCTTGCAGGACAGTAATCATCATCATCATCATCATCATCATCATCATCATAATAATAATAATAACAATAATAATAATGTGTGTGAACAGTGCAGTATGTGCACTGGCAACTGAGTAGGAAGGTCAAACTGAAACGAGCAGATCAGTGGTACCAACATACCCCGAGAGGCAGAGGGTCTGGATTGGGTCAACTGACAACTGACAAATAGCCTAAAATTTAACCATCGCCAGAAATTTCGAATCAACATGCGCAAGTGTCCTAGTAGTATTTATGTTAAACTAAATGAATACGTACCTTTCAAGTTTTATCCGTTTAGGTTTTAAGGTAAACAGATGTGCAAATTGACTGTAAAGGACTTGTATGGCTGTCGGCGATAAAACGCCGAAACAGGGCCCAGTTAAAGTGTTTCAGTTCGCGTCCAAGTTCGTCGGGTACAACCACTTTGCATCGGTTCTGCGTTTTAAAGAAAATTACTTTCAGGTCCAGTTACATTTTGCACTTCCCCATAGAAATTTCTTTCGGTTTTTTAACTTTGAAAACACCGTAAATTTCAGTATGGACTCCACGGCGAAATTTTCCGATATTCGCTTTTCAGTATCTCTTTTCAGTATGCAAAAACGTCCTTTTGGAGAGACAATACACATTTCAGAATAATTGACAGTTTTTGTCGTTCAGCGGTTCCTTTTTTTTTCCCAATATTATAGCTGTCAATTTTTCTGAGTGGAATGCGGGAGATTTTCACCTTGTCATGACCGAGATTTTCGGAAACGTCCCGGCGACTTCCGAAGATTTCCGACTAATTTCCGAAGACTTCCGAACGATTCCCGGACGTTGCTGAAAACTAAATGTCCCCAGACGTTTCGAAGACGTTCGAGTACTTCCGAAGCTACTTAAACGACGACAATTTTAGCGAGCTTTTGTTTCGTTATAGTGTGCAAAACAGTCCGTTCTTTGTGTATTCAAGTACGTTTAAAGTACGTTTGAGGATAAAAGACCGACTGTTTTGCAGTCTAGTTAGAACTCAAAAAAGTACACAAAGTCACCATGTGTTAAAGAAGAGTTTGTCCTCATTTGCGAGTCAGGGGTGAGGAATTGTCCTTGATGCGCGAGATCGATGTCTTTAGACCACAGGGGTGAGAGTTGGCAGGTATACAATATTCTGAAGATACAAATTTTGATTGGCCTAATAGTTGGAAATTTTAAACTCTGTTAGCAAAAACGTCCTAGTAGAGAAGAGAAGCGCACAACTTGAGAAATGGAGGGTCACCTGAAATGCTTACACTAGCAAAGCTAATAAAAATTAAGGTACTATTGCATCAGTTTTCGAATTTAACGTTTAAATTATATTATATGTGCCTCTTAGCGAATTGAGATCGGCGGAACATTGAGAGCTGTATCCGATATGTTCGAAATATACACGTTACTATAAGAGTGAGGACTGCTTTGGGACCTTTAGGAGCTTGTTGTTACTTGCTTCAATAGTTATTGACCAAGCAATGTAAACCCTTTAAGCCTGAGATCACAATCAATATTATAATAATAGTAATAATAATAATAATAACAATAATAATAATAATAATAATAATAATAACGGCAACGGCAATGGCAACAACAACGACAACGATAACGATAACGATAACAATAATAGCAATAATAAAGCTGCTTGCTGAAGACAGTAGCTTATAGAATTAGATACACAACCTCTTCCCCAGGGTGCTTTTCCCTGGCTTTGGAGGTGGGGGACAAGGTAGTTAGATACAATAGGCGTCTTGTTGTGTTTATTGTTTATTGTTTATTGTTTTGTTTGCCAAAAAATTATACAAATCAAATGAAATCTAATTACTTAAACTCTCATGGCGAGGAAGCCCAAGAGAAGCCACCGGGCTTATAAGGAATGGGCTCCCTCAGTTAGATAAATAGAACAAAATATTATCATAATTACACATGGGAAAATCAATGGCAGAGCTACAGTAAATCTTAAAATAAGTATATTAGATAGTCGTACTAATCATAGTTCTAGGCTAAAAAAAGCGAAATGACAAAAAGAAAAAACAAAACAAAACAAATGAAAATAAAAGAGCAAAGGAAGAAAAAAAAATACACATATATATATATATATATATATATATATATATATATATTACTATTTATGATAAGAGGAATGCTTTCAGTTTACAGCAAAAGGAAGCGGTACTTGTTGCATTTCGAATTTCAAAACTAAGAGAGTTAGTTGTGAGTCATTTTAAAACTATTTCCCTGTTATTTTAGGCGGGCTTAGCATCACCATCCAATCCAGAGCAGGTGCTTATTGCATTGGAGCCTGAGGCGGCCTCAGTATACTGCAGAGAGCGTAAAGTGTGGGAATTTATCAATGAGCGCGGGAGCGCTGAGTCGTCATTGATCGACACTCTTTCTTATCCAAAAACGCAGTACGTGGTGGTCGACATCGGAGGTACGAAAAATGAAATACAGAATTAACTACTGATCTTCATAGTTTTAAGCATGTCATCCAGAGCTCGTCAAGGAGTGAAGTCATCATCATCATCATCATCATCATCATCATCATCATCATTTTCACCCTCCGTTTTCCACTCATTTTCATCATCATCATCATCATCATCATCATCATCATTTCCATCCTTACAATCATCACAGTCATCATCATCATCATCATCATCATCATCATCATCATCATCATCTTCACTCACCTTGTCCTAATCATACTCACCATCAACCTCGTCCCCAGAGCTTTTCCCTCAAAAAATGGGTGGGGCGGGAAAAGGCCCTGGCATCGGGTGGTCACGTACACCCTAGAATCCTGGGTGTAATAAATTAGCGTCATGTGAAAAGCTAAAATTATGCGTAACCTCACAGCGCGCGATCTTGGGCAACCTTCTATATCTCTTGACGATTAACGAAAAGTTCTAAAAGGTTTCCTTTATGTCACAGATACTGGCTATGGTAATTTTTTGCTATCCTCATATTTCTATGAAGGGGACAGCGAGTAATATTTGTAAAACTTCTGTTTATAGAGCGGTATAAATGACAAACAAGCTATCGTACGTGCATAAAGGTTTTGCTGGAAAAGTCCGCTTTCTCTACTCTTCTGATATTTTATTTCATTTCTTGCGAAGTGGGCCGCCGTACATAGCCTAGTTCTATTCACCTTAACTCTCAGCCATATCATAGCGACACGCGTTGATTTAGACTTATCCTGTATGACCTGTATTTTTAAAAAATTCATCGACCTTTGCGATCAAACGACTGGCAACAAAAAAAACTTGGGTCTATTTAAAATTGACAGAGCTGTAGTTGATTCCAATCGATCAGTCAGTCTTCCCTTTGATATAAGGAAAATCCTTTGTACTTATCGTCGGAACAGAAAAGATATAAGAGTTCTTCAAATGTTTCAGATCGGCGACCAGTCATCGTTCCTGGCTGGAGGGCTGACTTGTATCCGGCGCGGAGATTTGTTTGTTTCATGGTCGCGGGTTGTAGAGAAGACCAGACTTCATAAAGCATTTTGATAAACTATTCTATTTCAATTAAGTTCAATTTCTTTAAATTCACTGCAGATCCTGAAGGCAAAGGCCCGCATTTTTGTTTGACATTGGACAAAATCACTTCCCGCTTTTTACCGTTAAGTAATTCCACAGTCACGATGAAGTTTACAGGGTGTTTCAAAAGTTCGTTCCGATTTTTTATTCGCTTAAATTTCACTAATTATTAAAAAAAAACCTTTTTTAAAACTTGGTATGTTATTCATTATTCACTCAACATTGAATAACTAAAATATTAGTGAACAGAATGTCTTTTTGTATGTTTTCTGACATTTTTAAGCAGTGAGGTATAGAATGTACGAGCTCCCAGAGCGTGTCCAAAGTCACATTCTTCCAGGCGAAGCGTAGTCACTGTCTTAGCTCGTCCAGTGTTTTGGGGGTAAGAGCTTTGTATGTTGTCTCATCTACGATAATCCAGATGGTCTCTAGGGGGCTCACATCAAGTGAGTTTGCCGGCCAGTCCTCCTTTGGTATAAAGTTTGCAAATCCTTCTGACACCATCCCTGCATGAACCGCCTTTTTCTCTTCAAGGCTTTCCAACTTTTTCTGGTAACTTATCCCCATACCGTTGTGCTCGAAACTTTGATCGATAATGTAAAGTTGAAAATTTTTTACCTTTCTGTTTTGTGGAATTATTTGGCATATACTTACGGCTTTTTCGATAATATTTCACACACAGTTTGTGAAAAAACGGCCATCCACTCCTTGGTTTGTGTTCTAAGGCCTTTACTTTTGACCACTTGTTAGGTCATCGTTCAGACTTCTTCAATTTTTTTTGGACTGAATGGCCAGAGGAACATAAAATTAGATGCCTGAGCTCTAGCACAAACAGTGTAGGCCTTCATTTTCGTGAAGGAGTAGAGGAAATAAAAGAAAGCGTTAAAAATACCAAAATAGAAAACCTTCAAAATGAGCAGGAAAAGTATGGCGGGAAAAACCTCGTGTACGTGTACAGTTACGGCAAAAATTAAAAAAATATATAATTTCTTCAAATTCTAGTTTGAAATTGCTTTCAACGGTTATTTAGATAAATGTCTTACCTGAATCAGTTTATTTGCCTAAAGAAGCATTAAATGCTTTGCGCAAAATACAATTTACAATCGGAACGAACTTTTGAAACACCCTGTAGTCGAAGTGGGACATAAAAGCTTGTCTCAATGCTGAAGCATTTGACATATTTTGTACGTGACAACGTAGAGCCGGTCTGCCCTTTCATAAACTCTTGCATTTGAATAATGCGCAATTAAATGGAACTTAAGCTTTTGAATCGCACACAAGCGAAAATATTGACATAGTTCGCGATGTTAGAATTTTCCATTGTTGTTCCCTTCTGTCAGCGCAAAACCAGCGGGTTTAGCTTGTCAGGAATATTTAGGCTGTACACGTGACCAGACGATGCCAGGGCCTTTTCCCGCCGGACCCATTTTTTAGGGAAAAGCCCTTGGGACAAGGTTGACTCACCATTATCTACATCATCACCCTCATCGTCTTTTTCATCCTCACCTTCATCTTCATCTTCATCATCATCATCGCCATCCTCATTCTTATCCTCATCTTTATCTACATAATCATGACAAACCCTACTGTTTAGCGTTTCTAAATGCTCCGTCTTTGATCTGCTAGGTGGTACTCTCGACGTGACTGTGCATGAGATCCAAGAAAACGGTACAATAAAGGAGATCCATCAAGCAACTGGCGGTCCTGCAGGTGGACAAAATATAAATATCAAGTTCAGAGAACTTCTGGAAAAAATTTTTAGCAAACGAATAATTGAAGATTATATCCGTGAACATCCAGTCGATTGGTTGTACTTAATGAATGACTTTGAGGTCAAAAAACGCGGAAAACGGGTCTCTCAAGGAGCAACCACAAGAATTCGTTTGCCAAACAGCTTTGTGAGCAAATTCGCGATTGGAAAGGGCTGGGATGTAAACACATTTATTCAAGAGCATTACAGTCTTGACCACATCAAGGTTCAACGGAACGAGTACCTTTGTCTTGAAGCAAAAGTCATGAGAGAACTTTTTGACCCAGTCTTGGATCAAATAAATACACATCTCTCAAACCTTTTTGCCATGGAGAACTTGTCTGGAGTTAAATACGTCTTTCTTGTCGGAGGGTTTGCGGAGTCAGCACTACTCCAGGAGAGAATAAAAAGGCATTTCGGCCACAGTTATCGCATTATGGTTCCTCAGAACGCCTCACTTGCAGTTGTCCAAGGAGCCGTTATGTTTGGCCAAAACCCTGAGGTCTTCCAGTCTAGAGTAATGACTGCTTCCTATGGCATCCGTGTACACAGGCTATTTCTCGATGGTCTCCATCCCGAGTCCAAAAAAATTGTCGTCAACGGGATCCCCAGATGCAAAGATATCTTCTTCAAGTTCGTGAAAGTGGACGAGGTGGTAAGAGTCGGCGAAATTCGTCGTTTCCCTGGCTTTGCACCTTTGACAGGAGACCAAAAGCGAATTAAGGTCGATTTCTACCGGTCGGAAATCGCTGAAGCGGAATTTGTTACAGATTACGGCGTACAGAAGGTACCCTGCCAAGGATTGGTACTAGAGACACCGGAAGCTTGGAAAACGAGAGACATCGAAATAAACTTGAGCTTTGGAGGAACGGAAATAAAGGTGACAGTTGTTAATCCAACAAGTAATAAGCAGTGCACTGCTTACCTGGACTTCTTAACCAAAAATGAGTAGTTACACTCTGATCTTTGCCCTTTTTTCATGAATTATAGTGTACACTTTACGCATGCCACTGTAGAACTTAACATCAATGTACCTTTCATATGTCGTGCCTAATTAGCGTTTTGCAAAGATGCAAGGAGACGGGCTGGTGACATTTGTACCAGCGTTGAAAGAGAGAGATAAAGAACAATTATTGGATGAGGCTTTAGTATGATCTGAAGAATTATGGAAATCGAGGGGGGTGTTAGATCTGCAGAATTCTTCAAATCATACGAAAGTCCAATTCAATAATTGTTTTACTGTTCATTCAAAATAATTCCTAGTTTAAAAACAATTTAAAACATGCTAACCTTAATCGATGTTAAGTTCCCGTCTCATTTACCTGTTTATCGGCAATTGCTCATAAAAAGGGATATTCAGTTTGGTCATTGCTAGCTGATAATGAAAAATAAACTGTGAGATTTGAGCCAATCAGAAACAAAAAAATCTTTTCAATGAATAATAATTATAATAGTCGTTATTTTGTAATAGAATTTAAACTTGGAATCTAGTTGAAGCAAGTGATCTCTTGTTTTGTGAAGGTATTAAACAATGGGGGCTATAAGCTTCACAGCATATTGACTGTGCACAATTTGCCGGTTTCGATTTCTAGTTACTGCAGAACCCCAGAATATGGAACTCTGAGGGTAAACGAAAAACAGTTCGAGCTAGCTTGGTTCGAGTTATCGGGATTGGTGGAATATTCAATTTGCCATTTCAAAAATTGATAGTTACTGATTGTTTTTTGCACTTTATTGTATAGTACAGTGGAAATGTAACTTCATTACTTCATCAACAAAGGTAACACAAATGTGCATCTTTATGATAAAACGTGATCTGTTTGTTGCACCAATTAAATCAGATTGATGTAGTGTTAGTTTTAGTTTACCGATTATACAGAAGAGCTAATGGAATGGCATGTGAGTGGAGTTATAAGGACTAGAAAACTTCGAGTTGCCGGGGTAAATTTCAGTGAAATTTTGATCAAGGGAAAGGAAATTTAGTTCGAGTTAACCGGGAATTCGAGTTATCCGAGCTCGAGTTAACCGAACAAAAATGACTAAAAAGTGGAGTGAAATCCAAAGCAAATCGGACTTAGTTCGAGTTAGCTGGGAGTTCGCCATCGAGTTACTCGAGTTCGAATTATCGAGATTCTACTGTATTTTGAATACGATTTATTTCTACATATGTCAGTTTTATATTCCTTTGAATTTTGCACAATTGTTTATTGTAAACAAACGGTTTTTTAATATGTTTAGTTTACTTTAGATTAATGAATTTGAGAGTACCGCTCCTTCGGGTTCTCTTCGGTGGCCCGAATATTCCTTACCCGAGGGAGTCAATCTATTTTAGAACAAAATACCAAAGAAAACGTAAATTTGAAATCATAAATAAAATAGGAAATAGAATGCGTATGTCAATTGGATATAAAGTTTTTTTTGTTGTTAATTAATCGTAAAGTGGAGTTAATTATCTACTATGGTGAACAAAAGTCACCATAGCATTAACATCGAAATGTTGCCTCATTGAACCCTACACAACAAATGTTGAAACTCAGAAATCAAAAAATGCGGCTACGAGAGTATCACATTTTAAAGGACAGTCGTGGAGCGAGGGACACAATTGCAAAATTTTCCCAAGACTAGTTACTCTCCATGATTATAGCCCAGACCAGCAGAATACACACTTTTTTACGATCTCAGGAGCCTTAATTGAAAGAGAAATTTTGATCCATTTGATTGGCGGACGGCTCTTTTGACTGCACCTGCGTGCAGTTTTCCTCTGGAAACAGGCCTACTACATGTACATCTGTAAATTAAGGGACAAAACAAAATAAGAACAAACAAATCATTAGCGCTGCATTTTTCCGTGTTTTACTAAGGTGGCTGAACACAGTTTTGGCAGTTTGTGAGTACATGTAATTTGCCAAATCGTAGCAAGAGAAAGGTTGCAGCTAACGAGCTAAAACATGGCAAGTGAGAAATATACTGATGAAAGATTTGGATTGACTGGTAAAATTTGATGTTTTTGTAGTTTCCATGGCAACATGAACGATTGAATACGATCTTAAAATTTTACTATGGCTCAGTTTAGATAAAAAATTCGCTCTTTAGATTTTCCTATAAACTTACCCACAGCTTACTATAACTAGTCATTCCCGTTTGAAACTTATTTGACCGAATTTTAACAGACGGGTTTTTAGATAATCAATAATATAATTGTACTGTACCGTAATTATTAAATGTGTCACAAAATTCGTCTGATCATGCAATTTCCATTTTAAAGTTCTAATCATTTAAAATACGATTAAGGGAAAAATTCTGCCAAATATCACAAGATTTCAATGAGTAGATTTTGAGAAATTGTCTACTGTGCATCATTGCCTTCTCACCGCTATGTTTGTTTGTCTAATTAAAAACACGCGCCGTCAAGTGTGTTACCGCTGACCGCCCGCAAAACTGTGTTCAGCCACGTTAAACACGTCTGAAAAACCTGAGTTGCCAGGACGCTTGAACTTCAGTGTTTTAAATGGTGAAATTCTGGTATTTTGAAAAAGTGCTCTGTTATTATACCAGCTAATTAGCCTGCGTTGCACTGAGGCGTTGAAAAGGGATAAAAAAAAATGTAGTTCGGAGTCATTAAAAAAGGTGGGTAAAGCCCAGCTTGATTAGCGACGCAATGGTGAAATTGTAGGTCAAATTTCGTTATCATGAAATCAGAACTACACCTAAACACCAAGTGCGTCGTTTTTTTTTCTTTTTTAAATCTGGTGGGGCAAAAATAATTCGATCCGCGATTTTAAAGCTGCAGGGAGTGATTCGGGTCCTGCAAAAAAAAAAAAACCAAGGAAAATTCCGTAACTCCAAGAAACACCCTATTTTGGTAGTGAGATGATAAGAGCTGCCTTCTATAGGATAATACTAAGGCGACGATTAATACGCTTCCAATACCACACTGCTCGTATTTTATTTATTTCATTTAAGCATTCTTATAGCTATCGTGAAACTGTTATGTAAGATGAGGTTGATTTTAAAT